TAGTCCTCTGGATCAAGCTCTATGCTTGCATGACTTGATGCATGATTACTTTCTAACCAACCATCGCCGTCCTGTTGTTGCTTTTCTTGACATCAAGGCTGCTTATGATACTGTCGACAGACGTGTCATCTGGGATGTACTGGCTCGCTCTTCTCTACCTCGGCCTGTGCTTGCTTTACTAGTCAACTTGTTTGACGACGTACAAGTGTCTGTGCTGATAGCCAACCACTCTTCTACTCCCTTTCAGCCTGTCACGGGTGTTCTGCAAGGTTCTGTTCCTCTCCGCACTTGTACTCTTTGTACATCAACTCTCTTCCTTCTCTCCTTCGTTCTGCTGCTACGGCTGGTACTACTTTGGTATGTCCTCCTGGTATGTCTGATGTAATTCCTCTGAATTGTCTTCTTTTTGCGGATGATGTTGCGATCTTCGGCTCTCGTAGTCAAGTCCAGCATATGTTGAACCTTGCTGCTGAGCATTCTTGCTCCCTTGGATATCGTTGGAGTCCGGCCAAGTGTGCAGTTCTAAACTCACCTTGTGATGGCCCTCGATTGACATTGTATGGCGAATCTCTGCCCCTCGTGGACGAGTTCATCTATCTTGGTGTACCCTTTCGAGAAAAAGGCATCCATGGACCTGGCATCATCTCTTTGAGATCTGCTAAGGCCATCAAGACCATGGCTCTGCTAACCTCTGTCGGTGTTCACCGCAATGGTTTCTCACTTCTTTTGTCCTCTCGGCTGTATGCCTGCTTTATTCGTCCCAAGATAGAGTATGGTTTGGCTATATCCCGTCTTGCTTCGGCAGACATGACACACCTAGATGATCTGCAGAATCGCCTGGTCCGTATGTTTGTTGGTGGCTCTTGGTTTCAAGTTGCAAAACACCTCACCTGTCTTCCTGCCATGAACCATAGGTACAACATCCTTGTCACCAAATTCGCTTTGCGTGTACAATACCTCCCTGATGACTGCTTGATAGTGCTTTTGCGTGATCAACTACGGTACCCTCGCCTGGTCAAGCTTCTTCAACAGAATGTCTTGTACCGTTCACTACCGGACCCACAGCCCGTCTCTAATGCTGAACTTCGTACTCACTTTAGACGACAATGGCAGAGCCAATTTGACCGCCAAATGGTGCGACATGCGGCTCGTGGTCGTTCCGTCCTTCTCCGTGCTTGTCGTCCTTGTACGTCTAAGCCGGATCCTATTCTTTACCTGCCCATGCTTCGTACTTCTCGTAGTCGCTTGGTGCGTTGGCGTCTTGGTCGTTTTGCAAACATGCGTGAAGAATGTCCTTGTCTCTCTGGTGCTTTTGTCTCTCGTGAGCACTTTATTACCTGTTCAGCACTTGACCCAGCATTATGGGATGCACTACTTATTGCTCCTGCTGGTGTTCATCGTCTGGATTATGCTCTAAATCAGCTGCCAACAAAGGCTTCCTCTGGTCCTCCTCCTTTTTGGTCAGCTTTGCTACAATTGCTTTATGCAATTGATGTACTTGTGCATCCTCTTGCAGCAATTCGCCCTGATCAAGATCCTGGTGATCGTTGGCTCCCTCCTCTGGTCTCGTCATAGACGAACTATTTTTGTCATGTCTTTCCTCTGCGCTGCCACGGTGGTAAGTGATTATCAAAGTTCCCAACCGTTGGTCATGCCTTTGGAATCATGCATCAATACAATACTCTTTCTGTCTCTGTTTCTTTTTTCTCTACTTTTTTTCCTGTTTTCTGTTTTCTGTCAGGTTTTTTCGCTCTCTCCTTTTTCTCTTTTTTTGAAAACTGCTCATACAATTTGGCATTATGCTCCATAGAGTAGCCCATATAATTGTTTAATAATAAAATATAATCTTTAACCTGAGCTATACCCGCACCTTTCTTTTGTGAAGTTAACAATTGAGTGTCGAAGTTTGATTTCAAAAATTTTTTGGATGACGTTGCAACTACTTTGATTGGATCGTTGCTTAAAAACAATTTCTACTGCCAAAATATAATCACTCAAAGTCGCTTGAAGCAACCCATACCATTTCTAAAAATGGAAAGCAACCTGAACACCTGTGATGTTTGGGTTGTGAATGAAGATATAATAGAAGATAGAAAGAAACAAAGAAATACAGTGAGACTGTTCAGTACTTCTTTATTACAAAAATAAATTGATTGTTGTCTAAAATATATCTTTTCCAGGTTGTCTTTTATACTACCTGATTTATTGACTAATTGTGATTATTGATTATTGATTACTTAACGCTTTGACAGCTTGTGCCTGGGAGTTGACTATGTAGATTCTCCTTTAATTCTCCTTGTTACCTAAAAGGTACAATTATGGTTTCTTTATTTGTAAATATTCATATTATCCCAGTTACCGTTATTTACTGTCATTATACAGTGCTTACTTTATATTTATAATGTATAGTGCTATAAGTGATTATTCATTTATATGATGAAAGATTATTTACTATATTTTGTATTGAAAGTGCTCAGATCACCACAACACCAAAGAAGTTTCACAAATGTTTACATTTAAGCGAAAAAAATCACCTCACAATCGCAAATCTTCTCAAATCAATCATTTTGATCAATTCAATTTTTATCGAATGATATTTTAAATAACAAAATCATACGAAAAAGGGATAATCTTGAAACATCTTAAAAGATCTTAACATCAAAAACATCTGATCTAACATTGGAAGAGATTGTCCTGAATTTGGTCTTTCAAAGAAATCTCGACTCGTAAATCTATATTTGACATTTCCTCAAGTAAGAAGCATTCTGGTATATCTTAGTCTGAAGATCGAATCTGTCTGTCTGTACTTGAAAGGAAGGAAAGAAGTTAAAAAGAAACTATTGTCTGGAAGTTGGAAAACATTTGGCTTAACTGTCTCATATAACTGGTTGCTCTTTGGTAGAACACACTTGGTAGTTATCTGGAGAAGAATTTGAAGCATTGGTTAACATGTCTATACTTTAGTTATATTTTAATTCTTGTATCTGTCATCTATATTTTTTACTACTATTATCATTTGTTGTACTGGATTTGTAAGTGAAAATCTTTTGATGAAATCATGACCGTTTACATTCTGTAAATAGGCTCCTTTTTGTTGATCCGCGTTTGATCTGATAACACCAAAACTACAATAAAGAACACCCTCAACTAGGACTGAATACTCAACATTATACCGTGACACTTTTGAGAAGTTGAATGTTCCTGCTGTCTGACTCGAAAATATTAAGAAAGTGGTGACGTAAGCAGCTATTCCGATCCGGGTTTGTTTGTGTCCGTGCCGTTTCTATACTCTGGGTGTACGTAGTAAAGTGGTGAAGCACCCTCTGAGTAATGGCTGTTCTTGTTCTGGGTGTTGTAACAGGTGTTGGTGATGATTCTGGTGCGTTCGTGGTGAACATGTGGATCTAAGGACCAACAAGAATACTAGCAAGCAAAACAATAAGTGTGATATAATCACTAATAAAATGGTCAAATCAATAAATCGATTAGAACCAAAACGGCCAAAAGAAGTCTGCTTTATTAAAGGTTATATTTTGTATTGTATTTATACTGTTTGTATGATAATTGATTATCCTTGATTTGGGACTGAGTGTGTATACACTAGCTAATCGGTTGAGTGGATTAAGGTACACAAGAACAGGGTACATGATCAGGGCACAGACCTCGTCTACCATTGGTATTGATGCAGATGTCAATTTGTGATTATGTGATGGTCTGATCTTTAACATGTTTAAACTAAGATAGAAGACATCCATCGAAGCTGCGGATAAAACTGTGATTGAAAGATATATTTATACACGATATTAATACTTGCTCTTTTAAGGCATAACTAGTGTAAGAAGGGATGAATAATGCTGTGTATACAACAATAAGCCATCTCTCATTTCATACAGGTTATGTATTTTCTCAACAGTGATAATTCCCATAATTTTCTTATACTCTTTCTTATGCAAGCAAATCAAGACCTTTATTATCTTTACTTCCTTTTTTACCCGTTATCTGTCTGTACCTATCTATGTTCTTATCGTTGTATCTTAGTACATTATATCTCTACTATCTAATTCCGTTGAATTGTATAAAAGCTGAATGAGCAAAACCTAATAAAATGATCGAACTTTTCTGAAAAAGATATTTTTGAAGGAGATTACCTGAAAATCTGGTGCTATTACATTCGAAGTAGGTTCTTTACAGTCTTTCCTTGGTGCTCGTGTGTAATAAGTGTTTAATCGGTTATCTTACTTCTAGAATATCTGCTTCATTTCTTCTATAAACTCACATATAATCAATGTCAGCTTTGTCGTGCAAATGGAGAAAGAAGATAAAAAGCAATCAATAGAAGTGGAGTATAACTTACCAGCCAAGTATAACCCAAATAAGAGAAGGTTCAAGCCGCAAACGTCAAGCAATCGAAAGAAAAAGAAAGTCCGCTTGAACCAAATCCTTGGAAGGCAGCTACAGTATCATCGCTTACATCAGACTCGTCATTGATGGTGCTTTACCTTACAGACTTGGATCATATATTTAGCTCAAACAGAAAAGTATAAATACTGTGTTACTGATAACTGTAAGTACATTATCTTATACTTACTCTATCAATACGCAGGTAGCATGAAATATTTCTATAGATAAAGATCTTATACTCTATCAAAGAAAAAAAAAAGGAAAATTTTTTTTTTTTGAAAAAACAAAAAAAAGTTGAAAAATTTTTGAAAAATGAAAAAAAAGCTGAAAAATTTTTGGAAAATGAAAAAAAGTTGAAAAATTTTTGAAAAAACAAAAAAAAGCTGAAAAATTTTTGAAAAAAAAAAAAAGTTGAAAAATTTTTGAAAAATGAAAAAAAAGTTGAAAAATTTTTGGAAAAACAAAAAAAATGAAAAATGAAAAAAAAATAAAATTTTTGAAAAACAGAAAAAAAAATTGAGAAAAATTTGAAAAAAAAATTTATCATGTAAATACGAATACACGAAGTATTGAAATTATTACACGAGAGCGAAGTGATCTTTGTTGTTATCTTTCTTTTATTGGTTAAATTCGAACTTGTACTACTTAAAATATATATAAAATAAAATAAAACTAGACTATGTATCTTTATCTTCTTTTTGTTCTAATTTCTACTACGCTCTTGGACTTACACCGTCGTAGCGAAATTATGTCTGATGAAGTACAACCACCCGCTTGGGCTAATACACTTTTACAAAGAATCCATAAGCTTAAACAAAAGCTGCACGACTCACCTTTGGTCAATATTGACCCAAACGTTGTCATCTGTGCACCTGGCGCTGACTTTACTCCTTCTTCTGTCATGTTGGACGAGTTTCCATACATTTAAGAAGACTTCTTTAAACGTCCTCTTGAGGATACCGACCGTCGGCGATTCTTATTCGATTGCCCAAGAACACATTACGAAATCTTGATCTACCCAAGCTTAACAAAGTCAATTTACATTCTTCATGCAAACAGATTGATGGTCATTTTTCTACAGTTCAATATCGTTTGTCGGGCATCACCCGTCCTTTGGATTGATTTTCATATCAGCTTCACGAAAATTAGGATCATACAGCACTCAAACAACAAGCGCGGGATTTTGCTTACGCCATGCGTGAACTTTTGTCTGACCTCGCCTCTCATGTTATCACCTTGCGTACTGAGAACATGTTCAAAGGATTATCGAAGGACCTTGACCCACCAGCGCAGGCGAAAGACAAGTTCCTTGTTAACACGCAAGAAATGTTGGACCACATCAAACTCCAACAGTCAGTTCAAAACGCAACGCAACGTACTCAACGAAACAAAGGACCTCAATCCAAACGTTTCAACAATAACGGTGACACCAATAATTATGCTAAAACGTATTCAGGCGCCCGTGCACCAGCCACCGACCGATTAAATGGTTACAAACAGTCTCACAACAACTTTAGCGGCTTCTCAAAGGATCAGCTGACTCAACCACGGGGTTCTCACAAGAGCCAGAACCAACAAAAACGGCTCTAGGTCAAGTGGGGGGACGTTTAGCCTTGTTTTCTTCTTCTTGGCCTTCTTTGCTCGGGTTCTCCGTGTATCCATGGTTACACAACATTTTACGATATGGCTATCGTCTCCCTCTTATTTATTTACCCCCAAAACGCCTTTCTCACCATCATTCATGCGCCCCAATCACTTCGGTTACTTCGCAACAGGTAACCGACATGGAAATACAGAATCTTCTCAACAAGCAAGCAATCGAGTTGATACAACCACATCATCTATCAACAGGCTTCCATTCAAAACTTTTCATCATTTCCAAGAAGGACGGTGGCCTTCGACCGATCCTCAACCTGAAACCACTGAACCTATACCTACCAGTTCAACACTTCAAAATGGAAACTATGCAAACTATCACTCAACTGCTACAACCAGGCGACTTTCTAACATCCATCGACTTACAAGACGCCTTTCATCACATTCTGATCCATCCTCGGTATCGTCATCTGTTGCGGTTCCAATGAAAACAACAAGCATACCAATATCGAGTCCTACCATTCGGTCTGAGTCTTTCTCCTTTGATATTCACCAAAGTCCTCAAGCCGGTTCTCAAGTGGGCCAGGCGGCAAGGTGCTCGGCTCACGACATACTTGGACGACCTACTCACCATGGGGAACTCTTTTCAACAAGCTCAGGAATTCACTCAAAAGGTATGTGAAAAAGTGACCCAATTAGGCTGGCTATTGAATACGTTGAAATCATCTCTAATGCCATCGCAGTCAATCACCCACTTGGGCATGAACATCAACAGTCAAGACATGACTATCTCGGTGCCAGGCAAGACAATCAGGACACTTCGATGCATGACTTATTCTTTACTGAAGCAAACGAAGGTCAGCTGGACCAGCTTAGCCCGGTTCATTGGCACAACCATGGCTACTCACTTGGAGAATGTTCAAGCTCAATTTTGGACTCGTCATCTGTTGGCCCAATTAAATAAAACACGTTATCAGCCGTTCTCCGAGATCAACGCCCAAATGCAGAAGGAACTTTTGTGGTGGACAACCGAGTTGACCAAATGGAATGGACGCCACCTTCTTTCCACGCTACCTATCACTCAAGTTTCCACGGGTGCGTCAGACCAAGGTTATGGTATTGTTTGGGGCAACAAATCGGTTCACGAAGCATGGTCTGCGGAGGAACAATCCTTGCACATCAATCAGAAGGAACTGCTGGTCGTCCAGAAAGTATTCTAATCTATTCCTGTTTCAACTCATCACCATCTTCAATTATGCATCAACAATACCTCAGCCATTGCTTATATCAAACATTTTGGCGGCACAAAATCAGAGAAATTGAGTCAAATAGCTCTTGACATTTGGACCTATTGCTTCCAGAATTAGATACAGCTGTCGACGTTATACGACCCATCCAAGATGAATCCAGCAGATGCTCCGTCACGGGCTCTTCAATCTCAAACAGAATGGTCGATTTCGGCGAGAACATTCAATTGTCTCAATCAAATATGGGGCCCCCATCATATCGATCTCTTTGCCTCAGCGAAGCGTCACCATCTCCCACACTTCGTATCATGGAACTACCAACCTCAAGCTCTATAGACAAATACCTTCAGTCGGCCGTGGCATCATCTTCCGGGTCGCCTGTATCTAGCCCCACCATGGAACCTTATCTTACCAACGTTGACAACTCTCCTTCAACACCGACGTCCTACCACACTTATCACGCCGAACTGGCCAACGGCACCCTGGTATCCTCTAGCATTACAACTAGTAGCCTGCCCACCGAGACTCCTTCAGGTTCCGGCGCAGGACATAAGCGATCAAGAGCCACTCATCTTGAAGAAGAACAAGGAATGGACTCTACTAGCATGGAACATGGCTTAAAGCGCCTCCGCCTTTCCCAGTCGGCCTACGCGATAAGAAACTCCAAGACATCACACTTACATACAAAACTCATATATAGACTGGTGTCATGAGCATGATATTGATACTCAAACACCTTCAGTGTTTCCTATCCTGAATTTTCTTGCTGAACAAAAGGCCATTAAGAAATGGAAGGTTTCGACTACACTCACCTACACATCTTTGATTCTTCAGCTGTACTCAAATACTGATCAGCAAACTATTTGTCAAACCGACGAGTTTTAACAATTCTACAAAAACCTCAAAGCAATTTACGTTTTACCTCTCAAATCTTGGGACTATGATATAACGCCTGCAATCACACACTTGCTGTCCTTGGGTACTAATGACAAAATGCCTATTGACCTTCTTACCGCTAAGACCGCATGGCTGCTTTCTATGGTTGGCTTTCTTCGTCCTTCGGATGTTGAGCGCATCGATCTCAATCAGTGCTCCGTTTCCGACAATAATATTCTCAAACTGGTAGTCGTGGCACCAAAGGAGAAACGCGCCGGTTCTCGCATCACCAAAGAAATTACAATTCATCCACAGGACAATCCTCTCTTATATCCAGTACAAGCATACAAGTCATATTTACTTAGGGTGGCTTACTCGGTAGCATCTACGCCTCATCCAAATTTTCTAGAAATCCTCATCAATGCCTTTTTTCGAGAAATCAAGAATCACTATATTGCTATGGGCCATGAGCGTATTTCTAAGCATGTCCAATCAATCATGCAATTTGTTACAAGACCTATGGGTACTCCCATTCCTAAAGCTCGAGCATTAGGATCCACACTGACTGCTGAATCTGGTATCGCTGTCGATGATATTGTTGTCCATGGTAACTGGTCCTCCAAGGAACTCTTTGAACAGTTTTACCGCATCTCGGTTACTACATCTACGGATTCTACCAAGGTTTTAACTCTGAATGCACAACAAAAATCACAAGGTTCAAAGTGTAATATTATGTGAATACGAATACATGAAGTATTGAAATTATTACACGAGAGCGAAGTGATTTTTGTTGTTCCCGCCCCCCTCTTCCCGTGTCTTTCTTCAGTTAAATATTTCTCACCAAAGAAGATAAAGATACATAGTCTAGTTTTATTTTATTTTATATATATTTTAAGTAGTACAAGTTCGAATTTAACCAATAAAAGAAAGATAACAACAAAGATCACTTCGCTCTCGTGTAATAATTTCAATACTTCGTGTATTCGTATTTACATGATAAATTTTTTTTTCAAATTTTTCTCAATTTTTTTTTCTGTTTTTCAAAAATTTTATTTTTTTTTCATTTTTCATTTTTTTTGTTTTTCCAAAAATTTTTCAACTTTTTTTTCATTTTTCAAAAATTTTTCAACTTTTTTTTTTTTTTCAAAAATTTTTCAGCTTTTTTTTGTTTTTTCAAAAATTTTTCAACTTTTTTTTCATTTTCCAAAAATTTTTCAGCTTTTTTTTCATTTTTCAAAAATTTTTCAACTTTTTTTTGTTTTTTCAAAAAAAAAAAATTTTCCTTTTTTTTTTCTTTGATAGAGTATAAGATCTTTATCTATAGAAATATTTCATGCTACCTGCGTATTGATAGAGTAAGTATAAGATAATGTACTTACAGTTATCAGTAACACAGTATTTATACTTTTCTGTTTGAGCTAAATATATGATCCAAGTCTGTAAGGTAAAGCACCATCAATGACGAGTCTGATGTAAGCGATGATACTGTAGCTGCCTTCCAAGGATTTGGTTCAAGCGGACTTTCTTTTTCTTTCGATTGCTTGACGTTTGCGGCTTGAACCTTCTCTTATTTGGGTTATACTTGGCTGGTAAGTTATACTCCACTTCTATTGATTGCTTTTTATCTTCTTTCTCCATTTGCACGACAAAGCTGACATTGATTATATGTGAGTTTATAGAAGAAATGAAGCAGATATTCTAGAAGTAAGATAACCGATTAAACACTTATTACACACGAGCACCAAGGAAAGACTGTAAAGAACCTACTTCGAATGTAATAGCACCAGATTTTCAGGTAATCTCCTTCAAAAATATCTTTTTCAGAAAAGTTCGATCATTTTATTAGGTTTTGCTCATTCAGCTTTTATACAATTCAACGGAATTAGATAGTAGAGATATAATGTACTAAGATACAACGATAAGAACATAGATAGGTACAGACAGATAACGGGTAAAAAAGGAAGTAAAGATAATAAAGGTCTTGATTTGCTTGCATAAGAAAGAGTATAAGAAAATTATGGGAATTATCACTGTTGAGAAAATACATAACCTGTATGAAATGAGAGATGGCTTATTGTTTTGCTTGCTAGTATTCTTGTTGGTCCTTAGATCCACATGTTCACCACGAACGCACCAGAATCATCACCAACACCTGTTACAACACCCAGAACAAGAACAGCCATTACTCAGAGGGTGCTTCACCACTTTACTACGTACACCCAGAGTATAGAAACGGCACGGACACAAACAAACCCGGATCGGAATAGCTGCTTACGTCACCACTTTCTTAATATTTTCGAGTCAGACAGCAGGAACATTCAACTTCTCAAGATGTAATTTTTGCGTCTTGTTACGGATGTTTATAGCTGCAATAAGATCACGTGACCAAGAAATACTATTTTAGGTTTACTCTTTAACTCTTGATTCTAAAGAAGTAGACCCAAAAAGGAAATTATTTAAACTAAGTAGTTTTTATCACTAATCAAAAATTGAATTCCTTTTATTCTTTAGATTATGTGGGTTATTTATATGTTTTCTAGTTATTTGTACTAGTACGTAATTAGTAATTGAAGACATGAAATATAAAATAATATGCTAAATATAATTGCTAATAATTAACTAATATCAATGTTTTGCTAAGTATCCTTTTTGGTTCTTTTTCTTCGTTCTTTGCTTCGTTTTATGTTAGGTGAGAACCTTCTTCTTTTCTTTGCGTTTGCTTCTTTTCGGAATTTTATTTCTAGTTCTAGCGGCAGTTCTTGCATGAGTTGTGTATTACTTGCAATGTGGTTCGTAACCAAATTTGACTCGACAAGATGTCGTGGAAACGAAGAAAGAAGATAGAAAGCAACCAATAGAAGTGGAGTATAACTTGCCAGCCA